ATCCAGACTTGTCTAGATTTCTCCAGACCTTATCCAGCCCTTTGACCTCTCCGGACTTCTTCCAAACACTTTCCAGACTTCAAATACACTTTTCCAGACCATATCCAGACTTGTCTATATTTCTCCAGACCTAATAGAGCCTTTTCCAGACGTTTCCAGAAATTTTCTGGCTTTCCCAGACTTTATCCAAACTTATCCAAACTTTTCCAGACTTAGCTAGACTTCATCCAGCCTTATCCAGCCTTTATCCAGACTTGTCTAGATTTCTCCAGACCTTATCCAGCCCTTTCCTGACCTGTCCGGACTTCTTCCAAACACTTACCCGACTTCAATTATGTATAAGTAATTGCCTATCTATGGGTCAGCACTTAATGTATGCAAAAGCGGTGACAACCTTGAACTAACATAAACATATCGATTTTATATTCAGATTGCCTTATTTGCATAATTAAAGCGGTGACAACCTTGAACTAACATCTCGATTTTATAGTCAGATAGTAGGCATATACAGGGTTTCAAACACCTAGGTGCCTTGGGCATAACTTGTATAAAGTTGATAGTATAGAAGAATACATTGTTAGTTGAAAGTGTCTGCCTCAGACCTCAACTCTTGGCGTAAAGTGTAATTAATATTCGATTTTATAACCGAATTTTCGCGACGAACTACTTCCATGATTTCATGAACACAAATGCTTTCGCGAGAAACTCATGACGTCTTATTGAACGTAGTTCGCCGAAAACATGGACGCAGCTTCTAGCCAGCGTTTAAACTCATGACGTGACATGACGAACCATAGTTCGTCCTTGCATGAACTACATTCGTCGCAAAAATTCGGTTTATAACACTATAGGCGCAATCCTAAACGTAAAAATCACCTTTTCTACATTTAAAATCGACGAAAAAATTAACCCAAAAGTACAGCCTGAATCGCAAGCACTCCATAGAGGTCTGCGGTTGACGTTACAACTATCAGCTGATGGTGGTGACGTCACTCGTAGACCAGCTGCCGACTCGAGAATTGGAGAACGTACGCCTTACTAAGATGAGCAATCCTGTTGGTTAATTTTTACCTTTCTTGGGAGGTGGGAGGTGCCTTGGTTTGAGTCAATCTCAATTTCTTTAACAAATCCTTAACAAATATGGCATTGCCGATTTTGTAATTCCATTTCCTAACCAGAAATAATTTCTAACGAGAAATGCCATAAAATACCATAAGTTAAGTTGCCGTCACTTGATCGAAACTGAAGCGAAAGTGATGAAATTGGATTATACATGTACACTTGGCCAAACATAAAACTGGTACATGCATTTTCCTATGTGTTGTATTGTGTGAATCGACCTTTATTATCACCTCAAAAATGAAAAACCGCGTGTTGCTTAATTCACCAACACCAAAATGGTGCACCGCCACGGATGGGGTGATTAAAATTCACTAATGCCAATGCCAAACCACAGCTTGCCAAATCCTGTTTAATTTAACAACACTGATGACAATGACGGCCATTCAAATGGGAAAATGGACATTTTCAAAAAGCAGATTGGAAATAGTGTTTCAGTCAGCTCCATGAGTCAGATACGCCAGATCATCTAGATTAAAGACTATTTTATTCATTAAGTGATTCTCACATAAATATATGAAAATGAAATTTTAGTTTGAAGTTTCGGAGCTTTATTTTGAAAAAATTGAAATGTCAAACCAGTCATTTAAAACTGAGATTCAAACTGCCCGCCAAATATTAGTTCAATGACTACACCGCTATGGCAGCACCGTCGCAAATGTCACTTGGCGACTACAACAGAAGTGAGCGTTCTATATCAACAATATAAAATCTGTTTTTTTTTAAAAGATAAAAGTCAAAATGACATTATGTTGGCAATACAATGTAAAATTGTCAAGCTTCCAAATTTTTTATGTAGAATAGGCTTGTGTTGCCAACATAGTTACTAAATTTTTGACTTGGGGAATTATCTTTAAAAAAAAAACAGACTTTAAATCTTTTTTCTATGCGCTGACATATGACGTTTTCGAAAGTTTTGTCATATTTACCTTCACAGGTTTTATCAATTGGAATACGCGTTGGAAGCAATTTCCGCCATTTAACATAATGAGTGCGACAAAAACAGGTATCCCCTCCGCAGCAGCGGCACTAGGCTTCACGAATCACGTTCGTCAATTATGTGTGCGCATTCCAGCTTTTGGTTATAGTTCATTGCATTCGACAATGTCGAATGTCAAAACTGTCTAACCTGAGTTTTTTACAATGAACTATAACCAAAAACTGGAATGCGTACACTAAGGCGTACACATATTGACGAATGTGAAGCCTAGTGCCGCTGCTGCGGAGGGGATACCTGTTTTTGTCGCACTCATTATGTTAAATGGCGGAAATTGCTTCCAATACGTATTCCAATTGATGAAACCTGTGAAGGTAAATATGACAAAACTTTCGAAAACGTCATATGTCAACGAGCAACAGAAAAAAACAACAGGCGATTTCGCCTCAGTTTGGTACCCCCATTGGGTAACCCAGTTTGTTCTGTCAAACAGGTACCATTCAATTTCGGATGGGTGAATGATGCTGTCACAACAACTTTGGTAGGCCTTTTGGTCTGTCAGATGCTATACCGAGGTTTGACTGGGTAGTGGAGGTTTGGTAGCTTTCTGTTTCTTTTTCTCTCATATCCAAATAAACATGTCAACGTCAAAATGTACCAAACGCCCTATCCACTGAATTCGGATGAGATTGTTGAGCTACGTCACTTACGTACCAATTGGTTAACCATTCGCCTACCAAACAGCAGATGAAAATCTGGGGCGAAATCGCCTAACAATTCCCCTTTGTGGCATCTGTCTTTCATGGCTTCATTTTTTTGGCAGATATGGCAGCCTATGTTCCGATATCAACTGTCAGTACTGAATTTACTGGGCGCCGTTGCGATATTATTTTCAGTACAGTGGATTCAGTCGATTCAGTACTGATTGACTACAAGAATACGCTGTTGAAATCGGAACAGCAAATGACAGTAAAATCAGCACAATAAATCCAGTACTGGCAGTTGATATCGGAACATAGCCAATGTGTGCGCATTTCAGTTTTTGGCTATAGTTCATTGGTTTTTTAGAAGAAACATTTTATTGTTACGCTAGACTCACATTAGGCAAATTTAAAAAATACCTATTAGGCAATTCAATCCATCTGTCAAAAAGGAAAATTCAATGTGGCGTGGCGGCCAAGCAAGTTTGTTTTGAATATGTTTTTATGCGTATTTTAAATTATTTTGCATACAGTTTTACTTACAACTTTGATTTTCATTATTTAATAAAATATTTGTTGACTAGGTACCTAAACTATTAATTCGGGCGGAAACTAGATATTTTTTTGTGTTTTTTGGCCCATGTGTGGCCGCCACGCTATCTTGAATGGTTTTATGTTAAGGTCGATTTACACAATATAACACAATCGGCAAATGATTGGCCAAGAAGTGCAAGAGCACTTAACCAAATAGGACTGCTTATTGAGCGGAAAAGTTGATCCGATTAACCCCATCACAAGCTGCTTGTTTTTTATCTTTCTTTAATGGACACGATTAAAAAAAAGACAAAGTATATCAGCTGGTAATCCGGTTAATCGGATCAGCATTTCCGGAAAGGCCTATTGTCTGCCATTTCAGCCGCAGACCGCAACTCTTCGTAAAATGCATGAGCCGAGTCTAAAACAGTATAGATCAAAAAAACGAATCCCTAAACGTTATAATCTTTTTGAAATCACCTTTTCTACATTTGAAATCGACGAAAAAACAAGCACAGCACAACCTGAATCGCAAAAGTATATGATCCCATCGAGGCTTGCGGGTGACGTCACCACTATAAGCTGCTATGCTGCTAATAGTGGTGACGTCACTCGCAGGCCTTGCCCACTCAAGAATTGGCGAATGTACGCCTTATGAGGATGAGCAATCCTGTTCGATTCTTGGGTACCGCTAACAATACGGTATTTTACATGGTATTTTAGAGTTCTCGGAAACGAAGACACAAAAATCCTCTAATCCCTTTCTGTTACATTTTGACCGCTGAGTTGAGTGATCCAAGATCCAATCCAACTTTTTTTTGCTTGTTTTCTAACTTCTTATTCATCCTGAAGATTCCTGAGTTTGATTAGTTTTCCCTTGGTTTTTTTTTATGAAGGAATTATTAGAAGTTACAGTTGCTGTTGACTGCTGTTCTTGCAGACGTAAATGGAGCGTAAAATAAGGCGACGTTCCGTAAGTTAACCAAGATTCTTGGTTTTTCCGGTTCCCGTTCCGTAACCTAACCACTCCTGAAATCTGGTTAGGCTATGAAACGCGGATCCTGAAAAATTCGGTCCCAACTGTCACCGAATCTACCGATCAAAAACGTATTTTCAGGAACCAGACTGTCACCATAGACGAACCGCTTCATACCGATCGGTAACTCTGGTTAAGATACGGAACGCCGCCTAATTTTGACATAGCATAGCGTTAAGCGTTACGGTAAGGCATCCGCTAAGTCCCGTTAGATAGGGGCTCCGCTAACGCTAATACCGTAAGAACTGTCATACTTGTCGAATAGCGTTTACGGTATTTGAAATTTGGACAGCAAGAGAACTCTCTCTTGTCAAATAGCGTTATGGCATTTTAAATTTGGACAATACGAGAACTCTCTATTGGCTGTCTTTCTCTGTCTCTCCGATTATACAGGGTGTCCCACGAGTTTTTACCCAGGTCACGCCGCGTCATCGAATGTTTCACTTTGTAATTTTTTATCATTTTTTTATGAAAACATACTTACTTTTTAAAGTCTGATTTTTTTTTCAAAGATAATTCCCAAGTCAAAAATTTAGTAGCTAAGTTGGCAACACAAGCCTTTTCTACATAAAAAATTTGAAGCATTGACAGTTTTACAATGTATTGCCAACATAATGTCACTTTGACTTTTATCTTTTAAAAAAGACTTTCGTATCCGTTTCCAATAAAACTCCTCTGCCCAGTATCCAAGCGAGTCACGTCAACTAAAAACAGGCCTTATGAAAACTTTGAAGTTCGAATACCTGTCACTGGTACCTACCACAACCTCTGGTACCTACTCAGAATAACTGACGTTTCCTATTTTCCTAAAGGTTCTCAAGTATGGCTGAAGCTTCGAAAAAAGAATCAGAAAACATAAAAGTTTTCATTCGCCTCAAACCGCTTGTATCTCCGGAACAACCCAGCAACATAAGCTCTTTTGGCGACATATTTTTAGAGGTCTGTAGAGGTAACGTTGCGAAGGTCTTTCAGTACAACAAAATATTGGATGGAAATGCTACGCAAATGGACGTATACGAAAATGTGGCTTCAAGTTTAGTAGATAAAGTGCTTAAAGGTTACAATGGTACGATTTTTGCCTATGGACAGTCAGGCACCGGTAAAACCTTTACCATATTTGGAGATAACCAATCAAAAGGCATTATCCCAAATGTATTTTTACATATTTTCAAACAAATTTCCTTGGCTAAAGAAACCAGCTCTTATTTAGTCACAGTAACTTTCATGGAAATTTACAACGAACAGATCAGAGACCTCTTGAATAACAATAAGAAGAAATTGGAAATACGAGAACGTGCTGACTTGGGCGTTTACGTCAAACATTTAACTGGCATAAATGTGGAATCCATAGAGCAAGTTTACGATATTATCTCTAACGGCACCAAAAATAGAGCTCTTGGTGCTACAAATTTAAACCAACATAGCTCTAGATCCCACGCTATATTTACCATTTACCTAGAAGCTAAACACCAGGATGGTTCTACGAATATTGGTAAATTGAATTTGGTCGATTTAGCTGGATCTGAAAGGGTTTCCAAAAGTTTAGCTACCGGAGATTGTCTCAAGGAAGCAGTAAACATTAATTTATCTCTAAGTACTTTAGGGAAAGTCATTTTGGCTCTTATAGAAAAGAACGCGCATATTCCTTATAGAAATTCAAAACTTACGAGGCTATTGCAAGACTCTTTGGGAGGTACTTCTTTGACTTCCATGATAGCTACAATTAGTCTTAGTCAGGCTAATATCGAAGAAACTGTTTCAACGTTAAAGTATGCTGATGTAGCCCAACATGTTAAAAATAGCGTCAAGAAGAATGAAAGCAATAAAAGCGTTTTAAAAGATTTTGAAGACAAAATTAAAATGTTGCAAGAAGAATTGGAAAAACTCAATAGTAATCCTGTCAAAAAGAAAACCAGTAAGGTAGATATACAGTTGGAAGAAATTGAAAATAATAAAAAAATGCTTCAAAATCAATTATTGTCTTTGCAAAGTAAAATTTTAATTGGCGGTGAAAATTTGCTGGAAAAAGCTCAACTACAAAATGAGCTGTTACACTACAGAGCTAGCAAAATAAATGTTTTAGACACTTCACAGAAACAGCTTGAAGAAACTTTGGAAGCTAAAATTCAAGAAAAATCTAAATTTGAGAGACAAAGCATGTCCTTACTAGAGCAGGACGCCCTTTTAGACATCCAAATCGAGGAAGCTGAAAGGAAAATTTGCGAAGCGAACGAAAAACTTTTCAAAAATGAAACTAAATACCAAAAAGAAATTAGTGAATTGTTGCTTAAAAATAAAAGGTTGGCCAAAGAACAAGGGGAAGCAGATTTCATTATAAATAAAACAATCCCTAAAGCTTATTTGGAAACAATTAAAAGCAAAATTGTTTGGGATGAAGAATTCAACAAACATGCGTTAAAAGATGTTGCCTATTGTGGCAATAATATGAGGAGGATTGATATGGATTTTGCCAGAAAGGAAGTAAAAGTTCCTTTGAAAAACCCTTACAAGGCCTACCCAAAGAGAAACGATTAAATCAACATATATTTTTGTATTTTTATTTTTATTAATAAAGTTTTGTTGATTTTTTAAAAAAAATTCAAAACAAAAATTTGCAAGGTTGTCAACTAGTTACTTAAGTAAATACCACTCTGTACATCAATTTTATTGAAGTGTGTCGACGAGTCAGCATTTATTTGGTATAAATACCGCGCCGAAATCCATTACCGGCAGACTAAAGGCTAGTGCAAAGTACCTCAAATGGGAAAAGCCCCTCTAGCTAAGTCTCCTCCCAGTGCAAACTACCTTTATTGGGAAACAACGACTAGGTGGTAGACGCTTTTTACTCATTGGGCGTCGACCGGTGAGATACCACCATGCCAGAATTGAGTAGCGCTAAGTGGTATCACTACGTTCCGCTACTGCGCTGGCAGTCCGGTTCCAACAATGAGTAACAGATAGCATGATGGCGCCTCCAGGATCAAAATATTCCGGAGGTAAAATACCCGACCACTCGGATCTCCGGGCGTCGGGTGATCCTGGGGGTCCTTCATGCAAAGATATAAAGAGAAGATCAAAAACTCAACTCAGAATTGATTTTAGCAATATAAGAGGAATAAGTACAAATATGAATTCAGTTCACCAACATCTTGAAGAACAAAGACCTGACATCCTTGTTCTCACTGAAACTAAAATCAGTTCTGCAACACCTATTGTGAACTATCTTTATCCCGGCTATGATCTACACCACCGATTTCGACATAATTTTGGGATCTGTGTGTACATTAAAAATGACCTTTCATGTCATCGAGAGGAGAAGCTAGAACCAGCGAACCTTGATATCATATGGCTAAAATTCACCTCAAAGTCATCGACCAAGTTTATCTGCTGCCTCTACCGACCGCCAAGTAACACCGATTACCAAAACTTTTTCGCGACATTATCCGAAAGCTGTGATAGTATACAGTCAAACTATCCACAGGCGGAAATTGTCTTTTTAGGCGATTTCAACGTCCACCATATACCCTGGCTGAAACACCACAACAAAACAGATAACGAAGGCAGAGAAGCAGAAGCTTTTGCCATAAGTTATGGTCTAACGCAGCTTGTCGATGAACCTACCCGTATCTCAGAAAGGGGCGAATTTGCTGCGCTTTTAGACTTGTTCCTAACCACCAATCCTGACTCGTACACAATTCAAGTAGATGCTCCACTTGGTTCGTCCGATCATAAACTTATAATAACAAAGTGCGAAATGCTCATCCCACCAAGCCTACAACCACTTCCTCGTAAAATGTGGCACTATAAATCGGCAAAATGGAATGACCTAAAACAGTATTACCTGGATTTTCCATGGCAAGAGGTTTGCTTTAAAACAGCTGATCCCACTATTTGCTGTAATGAAATAACACAAGTAATCTTATCTGGAATGGACGCATATATCCCACATACAACTAAACGTAGAGCTAATGCAAAACCTTGGTTCAACAGCCAGTGTCAAACGGCTGTACAGAAAAAACACAGAGCATATAACCTTTGGAAACGACAACAAACCGCTCAAAACCATACAGAATTTATAGAAGCCAGAAATAGTTGCAAAATTACTATTGACTCCGCTAAAGAAACATACAATCAAAGAATAAAAAACAGGTTGCTGAATTGTCCAAGTAGTTCTAGGTCTTTTTGGTCTCTTGCAAAAGCTGTTGGATCTAACTTCACCAAGTCATCCATACCACCACTTACAGATAAAAATAATCACTTAGCCACAACATCAGAGGAAAAAGCCAATATGCTTGCCCAAATGTTTTCCTCCAACTCCAACCTAACAGTGCCAAACGGAAAAACTCCACCGTTCATTGAAAGGGTTTCCCATAGTATGCCAGAGGTACCCTTTTGTCACAGAGAAATACGAAAATCCCTAAAAAAGCTGGATACAAACAAAGCAATGGGTCCGGATGGCATTCCCGCAATAGTACTCAAAAATTGCGCCAACGAACTCACCCCAACTTTCGCAAAATTATTCAATTTGTCTTACAGGCAAGGAGTATATCCATCATCATGGAAGTCTGCCGCAGTACAACCCATTCCAAAGAAAGGAAAAAAGACAGATCCGTTAAACTATAGACCAATTGCTCTACTTCCGGTGATATCAAAAGTAATGGAAAGAGTTGTGAACAATCACCTAACCAAGTACTTGGAAAAGTACAAAATTATCAACGATAAGCAATACGGATTTCGAAAATATAGGTCAACTGGCGATTTACTTACATACGTCACTCACTTATGGCAAAAAGCGATTGAGTTGCGGGGTGAAACAAGAACAATTGCCTTAGATATATCTAAAGCATTCGACAAAGTTTGGCATGAAAATCTGCTCAGCAAGCTCAAAGCAATGGGATTATCGCCGAAACTTTGCACTTGGTTTGAAAGTTACCTAAAGGACAGATCCATTTATGTTGCACTGGATGGCCAGAACTCCAACTCTTACCAAATAAATGCTGGTGTGCCACAGGGAGCAATCCTTTCGCCAACTCTTTTCCTGATTAACATAAATGACCTCATAGATAAAACAGTAAATCCACTTTATTGCTTTGCAGACGATGGCAATGTAGTCTCCTCACTCATACCACCCACAGGTCTTTTCGCACGTGAATTCCATCATCTTAGACTAACTCAAATATCGCGGATAAATAACGACCTGGAGATAATAGAGGACTGGGGTAACAAAAACCTTGTACAGTTCAACGCGCAGAAAACCCAAGCAGCTCTGTTTTCAAAAAAGACCAGCACCGGTGAGCCAAACATCATGCTATCTGGAAGTGCTGTCACATTACAGAGTCAGTTGAACATCTTGGGGGTTACTGCAGTGACCAACATGTCTTGGCACAGTCACGTGTCAGATATTGCTAAAAGGGTCTCCCAAAAGCTAGGGGTGCTATTTCGTACAAGACATCTGTACACACCAAGCCAATTGCTGACACTCTACAAAGCCCAGATTCGACCAACTATGGAGTACTGCTCACATATATGGAGTGCAGCACCCAAACATATCTTAATGCTTTTGAATACCGTGCAAAAACGAGCTATCAAGCTGATCAATGACCCCGCACTTACTCGTAACTTGGATGGTCTCGAACATCGCAGATCTGTGGGTGATTTATCTCTCTTCTACAGGTACTATCACGGAAAATGCTCTGAAGAGTTGGCACGTATGATTCCACCGAGAGTAGCACCTACCAGGCGAACCCGTCAAACAGACGGTAACCATGAATTTACTGTCAAACTAGAGGCACCAAGAACCTCATTATATCAGAATTCATATCTCTGGAGAACAGCATCGCTGTGGAATAAACTCCCTGCGACGGTTTTCCCTGCAGGTTACAACCTGAACCGTTTCAAGACCAACATACACCGACATTTCCGCGCACTTGCCGCTTCTCGAGCGTGATAGGACATTTCCTTGCGAGTGCGCATATCCGTAAAAAAAAAAAAAAAAACGCCTTTCTGGACCTGTCTCAAACCCAGCTTCAGTCTCCAGTCACGCTAAGTGTACAGAGTGTACATAATACAGAGTGACCTATAAGCAGTACCTACGTCCCTCCGTAGAAGAGACGTCATGATACTATTTCTAGGTTAATATTATTATTATTCAATACATATCTTATTATACCTATACCAAGCGAGTTTCTCTCTACCTACAGAATCTTGACGTCACCATATTGGAAAAAAAACAGGGCACAAAATAAAATATACAGGGTGTTCCATAAGTCATAGTCCAAACTGAAAGGAGTGATAGAGTCGATCATTGCCGACAAAAAAACATTATATGTTACCATACAATTCTTCACGGTTTTAGCAGTAGGTGTAACTCAAGAATACAAAGCGAAAAAGGCAATTCTCAAGAAATACAGGCATTTGCTTCCTAGAAACAGGCAAAAGAAGACCATAGGAGAGTTAGCGATAACAAAACATGGGAAACAATCGGCAATTTTTCTATTTACAAGATTATTTCACTCATGTGTTAGGAATCCCATAAGACAAGTGACGATTTTCAGAATTGCAGCGAAAATTCTTTTTTCCATTTGTTTAACTAGAGAGAATTACAGCGATAATTCTCCCATGTTATGGTATACATGGTTGTCATGCTAACTTTTGATACAAACAAACGGTTCCTGATAGCAACCATTTATTTATATTGATTGTTGAGATGTTCAAATCGTTTAATACATATTTATTTCCATATTTTTTGCATTCTCATACGTGAAATAATCCTCTAAATACCACTTGAGCTTTAAAAGGAACCAGATAATTTTTCACTCATGCGTGTTTTCTTTGCAAATTATAGAAAACACGCAATCGTGAAAAATTATCGGTAATTTTGGAGCTCTCGTGGTATTATCCCCGAAAATCCATGAGAGAAAAGCCAACTCCAAGAAATATATTTAAATGTCTAAGAGCACTTAGGACCAGCATCGCATGCAAAATCGGTTGAGAAATGAGTTATCCCAAGACAATGATGGGGATTAGGATAAGAATGGGCGAGATTCAAACAAATGTTATATTTTCTATTTAAGAACATGGGCGTCACTGTTCTTATATACAGAGAAGAACCAATAAGTCATAAAATAGAAGAAAAACCCAAAGAGGAAATCAGTAACCTAATGCAAATCAGTACGGAAACTTAAGATAAACTACACAAATTAGGTGTTACTAAAGATTATACGGTAAAGTGACGATATTGCAATTAAAAATTATGGACAGAAATAGTGAAATTGAGAACAATGTGGGCTACCAATGCAGATATAACTTGGACTGGTTAGCAAAAATCATCTGGTATTACAAACGCACATTCACACAAACGAAGGCAGCCTTATGTTAAAAGTAAAATCAAATAAACGGAATCCAGTAGCATGCTACAAGAAGAGAAGATCCAGGAAAACGAAGAAGTAACGCTAGATGACCATAAAGTGGACGGAATTCCAAACGAGGAAAATAAACAGGCACTATAATAGAACTACTTCTTGAATAAAATGACGTT